AAGCCAAAAGTTGGTGCTGGAACCTGAGTCTCTTGACTTTCAGCCTGTGTGTGTGTGTGTGTGTGTGTGTGTGTATGGAGGGCAGGGGGTGGGTGGTAGGAGGTGGGGAGGGGCATGTAGGTCTTAATCCTTCCTTGACTTAAGCATATGTTTACTGTCTACTATGTGGCAAATTCTGCCCTTGCCAGCCTGAGTGCTGATCTTTTGGAGCAGAGGTCCCCTAGCTCGGCCTGTGCCTAAGTGGCCATCCCTGGTAAGTGGCCATCCAGTTTTGGATTGAAGATCTCCATTGACGGGGAGCTCACCACCTCCTGAGGCCGTCCATTCTATTTAGGGCTAGCCCTGATCAGTAGGAAATTGTTTCTCACATTGGATCAATATTTATCCCTTTCGTGTTCCTCCTGTTACTCTCTATTTTCCCCTTTGGGCCCAATGAGAACAAGCCTGATGACTGTTCTCCGTGACAGCCTCTCAAATACTTGAAAACAAGGCTCATCTGTCCCCTGAGGTTCCTCTTCCCCATGTTAAACATCCCCAGTTCCTTTAACTGTTCCCCGTAGATCACAGTCTCCTCACCATGCTGGCTGCCCATCCTTTGGACCCCCAGTTTGTCAATGTCTTTCCTAAACTATTCTGTCCAGAACTGAGCACAATGTTTTAGGTGAGGTCTGGCCAGGGAGGAGCCCACTGGGGCTGCCATGCTCTCAGTGCTGTTGGAATGAGCTTTCCTGGGTACCATATTATGCTGCTGACTCATGGGAAATGATACCAGCTATGGGCTCATAGCTGAGCCCTGAGGCTCTGGAGACAGAAGGAAACCCGGGCCGGCCCTTGGGGAACTCCCAGTCTTCCACAAAGAACATCCCATTGGGATAAGATAGTATGGGATCAGAGTAATCAGATTTCCAATTTCTATAGTGCCTTAACATTTACAGAGGACACCCTGATGAGGTGAGGACTGGCAAGGATTGGCATTCCCATTTGACAAAGGAGGAGACTGAGGCTGAGAGAGGTTAAGGAATTTGCCTAGAGTCACATAGCAATTAATGTAGAAGTCAGGATTAAAACTCAGGTCTCTTGGCTCTAAATGAAATGTTCTTTCTACTACAGTACAGTAGATTTGAATTTGGAAGACCTGGGTTAAGATCCTAGCTCTGCTGCTTAATAGGTATGAGTCTTTGACCTTATACTCTCTAAACCCGTTACCCTCCCTATGAAAGGAGGGATTTTGAAAACATTGTCCAATGGGAAACGGACCTGGGTTCTAATCTTGACTCTGGCACTTAATAGCTGGGAGATTTTGGGTAAGCCCTTTAAACTGTTTTAGCCTCAGTTTCCTTATCTGTAAAATGAAGGGGTTGGCCTTCAGGGGTTCTTAACCTGAGGTCTAAAAACTTAGTTTAAAAAAAAAAGAACATTCTGGACCTGGAGTCAGGAAGACCTGAGTTCAAATCCTGTCTCAGACACAGACTTTGTGACCCTGGGCAAGTTATTTAACCGCTCTTAGTCTCAGTTTTTCCATCTGTAAAATGGGGATAATAGAAGTACCTACTTCACAAGCATAGTGAGGGTCAAATGAGATAATGCATTTGTAGTGCTTTGCAAACCTTAAAGTGCTGTGTAAATGCTAGCTATCATCACTACTATTATTAATGTATTTCAATAGGATTGGTATCTTTTGTAATTGTTTGTACTTTATTTTGTGCATTGAAAAGCATGATTCTGAGAAGGCATTCCTAGGCTTCCCCAGACCATGGTCCAGGACACAGAGAAGATGAACCTTTGACCCTTTGAGAGTCCCTCTGAGGTCTCCTCCTTCTCTGACCCTCTTAGAGCCTCGATGGGGTGGGTGGTGGTGAGGGTAGAGGGTGCCTGGGCACAAAGGGAGATCAGCAGGGATGAGTTTGGTGGGGTGGGGTGGGGACAAGAGGAAGCCGGCCTCGATGGAGGAGATGGAGCTGAGATAGGGAGCAGGGTTTGGAAAGGAGGCTGGTCATGCAATTGCTCCCCTCCCCAACCCCGCAACCTTCAGACCAGTGTGGGAGTAGGGGAAGGTCATGGGGAGGCTTGGCTCAGATCCTGATTCATTAATGAGACTTCCTGTTCCTGGGAGGAAATGGAATTTGTAAGCTCACTCCTTCACCCTCTAGGGTGGGTGACTGAGTGTATTCTACCTCCAACACTGTGGATTTTAAAATGGGATCCTGGTGAAAGTCACACTTACCCAAAAAGGACTGGAACACAGATGAGGGAATGCCTGGCACCGGCAGAAGGGTGGAGGTTCCTGGGGAATGTTTCAAGGCAGGGGAGCCACTCATCCAGGCAGCCGGCCGCCTGCTTGCTCTCTGCCTTTGGGTTAAGTGTCAACCTCTCCCAGCATCCCTTGATTGTGAGCTAAACACCAATATGGCAGTCAGGACACTCAGATTCTAGTCCTGGCTTAGCAAGAAGCACTAGAAAGGACAATGGCTGCAAAAGGAGAGAGAGAGAGACAGAGACAGAGAGAGAGAGAGACAGAGACAGAGAGATAGAGAGACAGAGAGAGTCTTGAGGTCCACCCACTTAGTACAGCAGAGAGAACAATAGATTGGACTTCAAAGAATCCAGGTTTGATGCCTGACTCCCCTGGCGACTACTTGTGCTTCCTTGAGCAAGTCACTCAAACTCTCTGTGACTCAGTTTCCTCATCTGTCAAACAAGTGGGTTGGACGCAGAGAACTCTCCTTTGGGGAATTTGAATTCTGGTCCTGGGACTGTAAATTCGAAGCTCTTTTCCAGTGTACCATAAAGAACCCCAGTGACAGTATGGAACAGCAAATAGAAAGAGGCTTGATTTGGAGTTAGAAGACCTGGGTTAGTCTCTTGCAGATGGAAATCTGTGCCCTCTTGATCTTATGCAGGGTTTCTAAGCTCCACCATGGCACAACCTGGATGGATGGAACTTTTCTGGGAAAGAGACAGGAGAACAGGCTGGGAGGACTTGGAAAAGGATGCACAGAAGGCCTTGAAATGTCCCCAGTCACTCCAGCAGCTCCCAGAAAAGTTGGCAGGGACACTTCAGCCTGAAGGAGGGAATGATTCAGACTCACAGGGAATGTATTTGCCTTGAAAAGCAGCCCAAGGCTGAACATTCCCCAGAGTGGGCATGAGGAAGGGGAAGATAGCTGTGAAGGACGCGCGGGATCCTGGAAGCGTTCCCTTTGCCAGAGTGTGGAAGGAGATGCCTTTTTGGAGTCAGAATCCTGGTACATGATGCTGTTCATTCACACTCAGCCCTTCGGCCTCTACATTCCCCATCAGCTAGGCCTGATTTGACCACCATCTATCTAGGGGACTCTAGGCCCCCAAGCTGTTCTCCTCTCTGCCTGATGTTCCACCATTAGAGAGTGAGTGATTCCTTTGTGTTATGGGCTAACCCTCTTTGAGTCTCTGTCCAAGGCTGCAAGCTTAGTAAGAAGCAGAGATGAGACGAACCCAGGTCTTCTAACTCCAAATCAAGTCCTCTTTCTATTTGCTGTTCCATACTGTCGCTGGGGTTCTTTATGGTACACTGGAAAAGAGCTTTGAATTTACAGTTCCAGGACCAGAGTTCAAATCCCCCAAAGGAGAGTTCTCTGATTCAGATAACACATTAAGCCGTGGTTATCGGAGGATTGTGGGCCTATAGACGACCTCAGACTCTCGTCCAACTCTCTTGTTTTACAGATGAAGAAACAGAGGTTTAGAGAGGGGAAGCTAGAGAGGGAGGAAATGGCAGAGCTGGGATTTGAACCCAGGACGAGTGACTCAAATCCAGTGATCCCTCCATGTACAGTGATAGTATGAAATAATAATAATGGCTAACACTTATATAGTGCTTACTATGTGCTAGGCACTTTACAATTACTGTCTTATCTGATCTTCACAATAACCCTGGGAGGTGGGTGCTGTTGTTATCTCCATTTTACAGATGAGGAAACTGAGGCAAACAGAGTTAAGTGACTTGCCCAGGACCACGCAGCCAGTAAGTGTCTGAGACTGGATTTGAATTCAGATCTTCCTGACTCTAGGCCCAGCACTTTTATCCACTGTGCCACCTCACTGGAAAAGAACTGAATATGGACTCAGAAGACCTGGGTTCAAGTCTTTCTAATCATGTGACCATGTCGTTTCTCTTCTGTAGACTAATTTTCTTCCCTGGAAAATAAGAGGCTTTAACTACTTGAGGGGCAGCTAGGTGATACAGTGGATTGAGTGTGGGACCTGGCATCAGGAAGACATCTTCCTGAGGTCAAATTAGGTCTCTGACTCTTACTATTCTGTGTGACCCTGGGCAAGTCACTTAACCCTGTTTGTCTCAGTTCCTCATCTATAAAATGAGTTGGAGAAGGAAATGGCAAACTGTTCCAGTATTTTTGCCAAGAAAACCCCAAACTGGGTGACAACTGAACCAGAAAAATGGTCAAAGCACTGAGCTAAGCTCTGGGGATACAAAGAAAGACAAAATCAGGAAGGTAGCATGGATTGGGAATCAGGAGATATGGATTTGAATCCTGATTCTGACACAGCCTTTTGTGTAATCTTGGGCAAGTCACTTAAGCATCTCTGAGACTCAGTTTCCCTCTGTAAAATAAGAGGTTGGACTAGTTCAAGGTTTTAACCTTTCTTTTTGTGTCATGGACCCCTTTGGCAATCTGGTGAAGCCTATTTCTGAATATTTTTAAAAATCACAAAACACTGTTGTGTTCATTGTCATTTCCTTCTCCAGCTCATTTTACAAATGTAGAAACTGAGGCAGACAGGGTTAAGTGACTTGCCCAGGGTCACACAGCTGGGAAGCATCTGAGGCTGGATTTGAACTCAGAAAAAGGAGTTTTCCTGACTCTAACCCCAGTTCTCTATCCACTGCACTACCTAACCACCCTTATTAAATAAACAAACAAAAAAATCCTTAAAATACAGAGGATTACAAAAGAAACCAATTATATCGAGATAACAGTCAAAATTCCAAGTTTATGGACTGCCTGAACTCTCCTTACACTTTAGGATCCGTGGACCCTGGTTAAGAACCCTGATACTGATTCATGATCTCTGACAGCTTCTGCACGAAGGTCCCTTCCAATTCTGACAGTCTGTGTTTGAAGGTCTAAGGACCCTTCATAGCTCTGACCTTGCCTAATGCAGTGAGTTCTGAGTTCTCTTTATGTGGGATCACAGGATAGAGGGGTGAAGGGGTGGAGAGAGCCCTGTCCCGGGAGCTTCCTGGGAGACACAGATTCCAACTTTAGCTCTGCTCATCATTCAGAGGATTCCTGCCCCTGTACAATTTGGACTATTCCTGCCCCTCCCCACCAGGTCCCTTCCTACTCTAAGAATCTATGAAATCAGGGAGGAATCAGATAATTCTCCAGACGCCTCCAGCCTGGGTATTGCCGATTACTCTCACAACAATTTTGTCCCCACGTCCAGGGGGGCAAGAGCCGGTATCAGCCGTGTCTGTGTTAAGGGAGCAGAGGTGAGAAGTGACCGTCGGCCTGGAGCTGTCGGGGATCCAAGGACGTCACGGAGGAGGCTGTTAGGATATCCCTTCCTCGTTTCTGGTCGATGTTGAGAGCAATAGTAAGTGATGTCGACGTAGGGCTTTAAAGCACTTTATAGACATTGTGTCATTTGAATCTCGTAGGCCCATGAGTCAGGCACTGAAGGCTCCCTTATTCTCATTTAGAGATGAGGACACTGAAGCCCAGGGAGATTGTGACTTACTCACAATCACACAGCCACTGAGTATCACAGAGGTTTTCCTGACTCCAGGGAAAGGGCTATATCCACTTTGCATCCTATCCAAAGTGTCTGGGTTTCTTCTTCTTCAAAGAGGAATTCCTTGAGAAGGGAGGCGAGCGAATGGGGCTCACGACACCAGTTTTAGAGGTGGGGAGATGAAGGTTGTGGGAGGGAAAGTGGTCTGTCCAAGACCGTAGGGAGAATTAACGACAGAGCCAGGTTGGGAGCCTGGCTCCGGGCTGCTGGCTGCTAGCCTAGGGCTCTCCCCTCCTCTTTACCGATCTCTCCACCTAGACCTTTTAATTCTGGGGAAGGAGAGCTTGGGGGTCATTGAGACCTACCCCATCTACTACTCTGCCCCTCCCTGCTCCCAGAAGGTCCAGGGGCATCTGGATCTAACCCTTACATCTGGTCCTGGGCAGGGGCTCTAAGCTCCAACCAAGACTCTGCCGGCCTTAGCTTCTCAATTTGCCAAGAAACTAAAGACAGTCCCTGGCCCCACCCTCCTCCAGGAGTAGGACTAGATGTACCATACTCCCTGGGGATATAGGGATCCCACTGTAGGCCCCTTACACCCCTCAGAGCTAGTCTGGACTCCTCATAAGTTCTAGGGTCTCCCTGGGCTCCTTACAGCCTCCTAGGCATATCCTGGACCTCCTAGGGATATCCTGGACCATCCACACCCCTGTAGAGATGGCTGGGTCCTCCCGGCGCCTCCTGGATGGGGAACTGGGGTGGTCCCTGGGGATGACCTGCAAGGGCTGAGAGCTATGAGACCTCAGGTACTCAGGACCTGGGATGGGATGGACTGAGGTCTGAGGTTCTGATGAGTTGAATGTTCTCCTCCCTCCAGGGCTGAATCTCAATTCTCAGCTTCCCCTGGATTTGAGTCACCCCTCTGAGTTGTGCCTCCTGAACTTGACTGAGTGTCTCTTTGTGACTAGGGATCTTTGGACCCTGGGTTTCTCCCTATGAAAAGGAATACTTAGGTTCTGTCCAGTGAGTCTGTCTTGAGGCTACCCTGGGGGCCCAGATATGAACTCAGGATTGGTAGGGAGAAGGAGAAGAAACAGAGTTTACCCTGCTTTCAGATAGCTCAGCCAGGGAGAGGCAGAGAAGAAATGAACTTACTTTGTCCTCAGGGAATCCATGGTAAGTGGTGGTGCTGGTGAGAATGGAGGGGGGTCATCCCAGGGAAGGAGAAACTTACATTAGAGGTACCTGGCAGCATAACTGATAGAGTGCTGGGCCTGGATCAAGAAGACCTGAATTCCAATCCAGCTTCAGATGCTTACTAGCTGTGTGACCCTGGGCAAGTCACTTAACCTCTGTTTGCCTCAGTTTCCTCAGCTCTAAAAATGGGAATAGTAATAGCACCTACCTCACAGGGCTGTGAAGACCAAATAAGATAATATTTGTAAGACAGCACCTGGCACATAGCAAACACTCTATAAATGCTTATTCCCTCCCTTCCCCTTCCACATGGGACTGACTGCCTTTGGGGGGCTTACAGTCTGAAGGCTCTCGCACTGAAGATACTAAAGAATCTCAGCCTTGGGAAAAACCCCAAAGGCCATCTAGTGACTACCCACTGCCTGGCCATCTTCACAGCCTCTGGAACAGCCTTTCTACCTCCTTGACAGTGACCCTGGAAGTCTGAACTCTTTCATGTCCAGAGCTGCGCCCTGGAGCCCTATTGTCCTGATAGGTGACTGTCTCTCCTGGACCATTATTTCAGGAATAACTCAACAACTTCACTTCATTCCCTCCTCCCTGGCCATCTTCACGGCCTGACTATCACCTTACCATAAGAGCATGTACCCTTTCCAACCCCCGTTTCCCCCACCACCTCTAGTTCTCTGCCCTTGTTCCTGGATGGGGCTTATTAACATACTCCCCTATGGCCCCACTCACCATAACTTTCAGGTCTGCAGTATCCTTTTCTGGCTGCCACTCCCCTATGTCAGTTGTCTCCTCTATTAAAAACTAAACTCTTTGAAAGCATGGATTGCCTTTCCTTTTGTATTGCTAGCACTTAGCTCAATACTAGACACTTACATAGTAATTGCTTAATAAAAGCTTTTTGTGTTCATCTATTCATCTACTCCAATCTGTACCTGAAGAAAAATCCACTCCACAATACACCTAACAAGTGGTCATCCAGACTCTGCTTGAAGACCTATGAGGGGGAAATCGTCGATCTCTCCAGGAAGCCCGGCATTCCACTTAGGGCTGCCCTAATTGTTAGGAAGATTTCACATCCAGCCTAAATTTGCCCCTCAGCTCTGCCTTCTGGAGCCAAGCATAGCAAGTCTGAACTCTTTTAACGTGACAGACCTTCAAATACCCAAAGAAATCTATCCTTCCCCTAAATCCTCTTTTCTCTAGATTAAAAAAAAATCCCCATTTCCTTCAGTGGAGCCTCCTATGTTGTGGATCTCAAGGTCTTCCACCATCCTGGTTGTCCACTGCTGGATATTCTTATCGATGTCCTTCCTAAAATGGAGAACCCAGAATTCAACATAATACTCCAAATATTTTTTGACCCGGACAGAATATAGCTGCATCATCTCCTCCATGGTGCTAAGTTCTGGACACTGTGTTTGTCTGTACATTATTTGCCCTTCTCTGATCCACCAGCACTTCGTCCATTTTCCGCAGTCTTTTAAAATCGTTCACAGTCATCACATCCACTAGTTCTTTATGTGCCCTATGAATAATTCATCTGGGTCTAGTGACTTGAGCTCATCAATGACAGCTAAGTGCTGTTATTATTTCAAGTCAAGACAACAAGCATTTTCTCTTTTTCTTTATTTTATTTTCTTTATATTTTTTACATTAATTATTTTTAGTTTTCAACTTTCACTTTCATAAGCTTTTGAGTTTTAAATTTTTCCTCCCTCCTTCCCCGCCTCCCTCCCCAAGACGGCACGCAGTCTGATATGGGTTCTACATATACATTCCTATTAAACATATTTTCACATTAGTCATTCAACAAGCATTTTTTTAGAAATGCTTTTATTTATTTTGTTAAATATTTCCCAATTACATATAAAATTTTTTAACATTCATTTTAAAACATTTTCAGTTCCAAATTCTCTCCTTCCCTCCTATCCCTTGAGAAGGCAAGCAATATGTTATTGATTATACATGTGATGTCACATAAAACATATTTCCACATTAGCCATTTAATAAGCATTTATTAAGCACCATATGTGCCAGGAACTAAGGGAAGCACTGGGAATATAAATACAAGCATAAAGAAAGGCAGTTCCTGCCCTCAAGGAACTTACCTTCTAGGTGGGGAAGATGACACATAAAAGGTGGCTTAAAAGAGGGAAGGGGGAGATGAAGGTTCCTTGGGGGCATGGTAGAAAGTCTGGAGAGTGAGGAGATCATCTGGTAGAGGAATGAGGGCTTGGTGGGTCTGAGCATCCTACAGGCTACATCCTACAAGGAAGAGGCCTTGGAGAGGAGGAGGCAGCCTTGACTGTGAGAAGCAGTCCTGGGACGGAATGGGCTTCCAGGGTGGAGAGGTTTCTATGGCCTGGCAGAGAAAGTCCAGGGACAGGCAGGAGTGCAAGGCAGGGAGAAACTACCTAATTAACTTGGCTTCAGCTCACTCGTAACCATTTTGAATTTATCCTTTCCAGGCCAGTGACTGTTCTTTTTGAGAGAAAAAAATAGGAGCAAAAAATTGTTGAATTGTTGAAATAAGTTCTACTTAAATTAGCCTTGTTGCCCCTCCCCCACAAGTAGCAGTGCTGTCCCTTATGTGGTCCACAATATAGCTTTAAAAAATAATTCTAGGGGCAGATGGGTGGTGCAGTAGATAGAGCTCCGGCTTTGGAGTCAGTAGGACCCGGGTTCAAATCCGGCCTCAGACCAAATACTTGACACTTACCAGCTGTGTGACCCTGGGCAATTCACTTAAGCCCAATTACCTAAAAATAAAAATAAATAAATGAATAAAATAATTCTGTTTGTTGTCCCGACACCCCTCATTAGCCTGGACTCGTTCTGTGCCTTAGCCCTGCTGACACTATTCTTATAGAGCCTGCCTTGCTCTCATTTCCATCATATGTGTGCATGTATGCATGCATGCATGTATGTATGCGTGTATGTATGTATATGCAGGAACATATTTCTTAACTTCAGAGAACTGTTCCAGTTTGTATGTGTTTGGTAGCTGGTGAGTGTCACAGACAGAAAGTCAGGGCTGGGAGAACTCAGTGGAGGGGAGAGATCTGGAAGGGCTTGGGGAGGCAATGTAAGGGAAGGCATCCTGGGTTAGGGGGAGCTTGAGTGTAGCCATGAAGGCTACCGTACGGGTGGAGGAGGGGGAAGTGGAGGGCGGGTGTGTGGGTCTGACAAGACCCTCTCATACAGGGCCTAAAATACCATACTGAGGAATTTGGACTTTGTCTTTTAAACTATGGGGAGCTGGGGCAGCTAGGTGGCTCAGTGGATAGAGCACCGGCTCTGAAGTCAGGAGGACCTGAGTTCAAATCGAGCCTCAGACCAAGACACTTGACACTTACTAGCTGTGTGACCCTGGGCAAGTCACTTAACCCCAATTGCCTGAGGAGCTAAGGATGGTGTTTGAGCAGAAGAGTGAGGTAGGTTGGATCCAGATTGTGGGGGCCGCAAGAGCTAAATTCAAGGTGTTCACTTATTCCTGGGGGTGTTGGGATCCCACGCAGGTCTGGTCACTCGCCTCCGTGAGGTGAATCCTCGGTCCAGAGAGTGTCTGTGGGGAGCGGGACCGGAGGATGGAGAAGCAGCATGATTTAAGGGAAGGAGGGCTGGAGCGGGAGTCAGGCAAGCACTGTATGTGCTTTTGCAGGGGAGAGTCAAGAGCAATGCAGCAAGGAGAGCTGGGATGCAGTGGAGGAATGTGGAGTGACAGCTTTCAGCTGGAAGGAAAAGTTTTCCCAAAAATGAGAACCAAAATGAGAATGTGCTTTCTTGGGAGATAGTGAGTTCCCCATCAATGAAGGTGTTCAAGCAGAGGGTTCAATCAGGGGTTCTTAGTCTTTGGGATGCATGCACCTAAGGGGTAATGGGGTTATTGCAAAGGTGTGAGAATCTATATTTGAATCTGCAGAGAAGCAAACATGCCTTCGCTAGACAAAATAAATGATATGCCTCACCCCCTTTCTTTGTGGCTGGCCTGGGTGGGTGGTGGTGGTCGGGGTGGGATCTGAACCTATGATTTCATCAGTATAGAGAATTCTTGGTGTGGAGACTTTTCCTATTGATGCAAATTGACCACTCAGTCTATAACTTTTAGTGTTAGAGTCGCTTGGGGGTACTGAAAAATTAAATGATTTGTCAATGGTCGCAAAGCTAACGTGGATCAGAAGGAAGATTTAAACTCTGGTCTTCCTGACTTGGACGGAGTGGCCCTCTGTCCACTGTGCCATGCTGCTCTCTCTCTGTCTCTTGTCTTTGTCTCTCCCCTACCCCTCTCTGTCCCCCTCTGTCTCTCTCTTCCTTGTCTTTCTCTCTCCCTACCCACCCTTTTCCCTCCATCTCCATGTCTTTCTGTCCCTCTCTACGTCTCTCTTTCACTGTCTTTCTCTCCCATCTTTCCCTCTCTGTTTCTCTCTCCCTTTGTCTCCCTCCCTCCCTTCCTCTCTCTTTTTCTCTCCTTCTGTGTCTCCTTCCCTCCCCCACCCCATCCCTCCCTGCTCTCTCTCTCTCTCTCTCCCTTTCTCCTCCCCTCTCCCCCCTCTTTCCCTTCTACCGTCTTCCTCTCCCCTTGTCTCTCACTCTCTTTTTCTCTCTCTGTGTCTTCCTCTGTCTCTCCCCTAGCTCTCTGTTGCTGTCTACTTCTCTCTCTCTCACACACAACATATAATTATATATTACTATTTTTCTAACACTTATAGGTTCTACTATGAATAAAAGAAAAATTCATGGAAAAGCATCAATGAAATTTATAGTCCCTTTTTATATTGACAAATACTAACAGTACAATCACTGTCATGGAGGGTAGCCCTTTTTTTTTTAACTTTGATAAGGATCTTCATGAAAGATTGGGCTTGACGACCGCGTGTCAGATCATAGGACCATCGTTCTAGAACTGAAAGTTAAGTGACTGTCCAAGGTCACACATGCAGGAGAGGGAATTTCTGTTTAGGTAGAGCTTAGACCAGATGGCCTCCAGGTTCCTGGTTCCTTCCAGGTTACTGTGGGTTCAAATCCTGACCCTAACACTTACTCATTGTGGGATCGGGGGATTGTGAGTAAGTTACTTCATCTCCCTGAATCAAAACGAGATTAAGAATATGCTGAACCGCTGACCTCACAAAGGTGTTGGGAGGAAAACACTCTATGACTCCAAGTCCTACAGAAAAGGATAAAATGATGATTCCTCTCCCTGGGCCTGCCCCAGGAAGCCGTCCCATTTCTCTCTCCTGATGTATCTTGTCCCTCAAGTCCCTGCTCTCAGCTGGCTGTCGGCCAGTCTCAAGAATAATGTGCTTGACTGATGTAGGACTAGAGTCCTACATGTAGAGTTTCTACATCTAGAGATGGAGAAATTGGAATGACCAAAAAAACGGAAATCGATTTTGGAATTCTGGGTCCTGTAACAGAGCAAGGAGGGCTGGGGTGGTGAAGGGTCAGATTAGGTATATCCCACCACAAAGGCAG